AAGAGTATTTCAACATATTTCCTACTCCATTTTTCTCTGGAAATAAGTAAATTACCTTCAAATCTTCAAATGGAATGCACTGAACAGCAAATTGACATTTAACTGAAAGAAAAATTTGAAAATGTTTCTTTGCTGGAGTTATATAATGATTAACTACCCCGCGATAACTATCCTAATTTCACAATCATGCTGTATAATGTCTTCAGCTTTTGGCGGTACCTATATTTGTGAACAATTATTTTCAAGAATGAAGCACACGGAAAACAAAAATCGGACAAAGATCACTGACAAATATCTTGAAAATGCATTAAGAACTGATACCTTGTCTATTGAACACGATATCGATTTGCTTGTTCAAAAGAAGCAAATTCATCCATCTCATTAATTTGAATTTTTTCCATCTTTATGAAATCCAAACTAAATGAAATGAAACTTTTACAAATTAATAATAAATATGTAGCTACACATATCTAATTCAAATTAAAAAAATTAATAATAAAAAGAAGTTAATTTATTTTAATAAAACAACATAGAGCTAATTTTTATTTCAGTTTGTTAAAAAATATTGTATGCATGGCCCCGCAAATTTTTTTTTTTTTTTTTTGCAATGCGGCCCTCAAACGGTCATAGTTTAGACACCTATGGTTTAAAGCTTCCTAATAACCCAAATAATCTGAATAAATAATGATGGGGCAAGGGGCGGATTTACAAGTACCTTTTTGGGGGGAGGTTATAGTTATAATTGGTCTGCTGAAGAGTCACCTTATGATCGCTTAAAAGGAATATACAGTACAAAGTCTGTAATCCAGACTCATCGTGACTTCGGTGATTCCGGATTAGGGGATTTTCCGCAATATAGATCATCAATTCAAATCTGGTAAGATGTCATGCAGAAATTATACAATTAAAAATATGAAACCATAATTCATGAAATAAAGAGCAATTATGATCTAAAGGGTATCAAAATTTACAAAAAAAAAAAAAAAGAAACATAATATTTACTTTATTAAACATTGCTTTCAATGTAAGTTGTTTAAATTGCTTCATTTTATGTGATAATACTTTCTCTTTAATTCTATAAACAGACATAATTTCTTCTTCAGTTACAAAGTTCCGCTGTTCAAGTCCTATAATTGCTGTGTCGAGAATACTGACGAACTTGTCAATTGAAATTTTTTCGTTTTCAATAACCTCTGTGTCACTTTCTTCACTATCGGAAGCGGGCATGTGTAAGTTTGTGGCTTTGAGGTCCAGATTATAGATCATTCCGTATAATGGACATCCGGATTACGGAATTTGTACTGTATTTCATTTAACTACTTTATACACATTTGGCAGAATTAGATATTTTATTTTATTAAAGAATCTTAGTGTTGCTACTCTTGCAAAGGAGAAATATGAAGTAGGGAAAAGAAAATTAAAATTAAAGAAAGGGCTTGTCTAGAAAATGAGTTTACAAAAATGCTATAGAATTTAAATTCTCTAAATATCCATTATATAATATAAAGTCTGAAATCCACAGAGCCAATATCCATAATGTTTTAATAACCGGATTTGTGGACAACGTGTGGAACCGTGTATCGAAAATTCTAAAGATATGCTCATTTCAAAAGTATTTTGCAACATTGTTGTTGAACTGAATTTTATGGTTTAAGTGAAAGAACATGATATTTAATAAATAAAGGTAACCCACAAAATGTAAAAAAAACCACCCTTTTGGACGTAATTTAAAATCCGAAACTTTTTTGTTTGTTTGGTTTTACACTTTCCATTTGCACATTTACCCTTATCTTTAACTTCTAAAATAAATACATGCTGTATTTCTGATTCATTTTCCCCAAAAAATTAAATGTAGACTTATACAAATTTCATTATTCCAAGACCTACTGACTTTAAACAAATCTTATAAGGAGCAATAAATTTTCATGATATGAAGTCCACTCAAACCAATGCATATAGGGCATTTCTATCCAGTTAAGTTTAGATACGTACCAATAGTACTTCATTTCTTCTTATTTTACTCTACAGACATTTATACATATATATATTCAGAACACCCCTTCCCTTATGATCTAATTTCCAAATGTGCGGGCCAAAAGCGACACCATAATCGGTCATGCGCAGGGACATAAAAAATAAACAACTTTGCTCAGCGTAAGAAACTGTGCAAATCGCAAACTTCCTACGATTTGTATATACACGTGCACGGTACAATTAACTTTGCAAGATGTTTGATAAATAATTACGGTTGGTTGATAATTAAACAAAAAAAAGATTTATTGTTGCAAATTATATAATCCATTAATAATAACATTTTTGTTTTAATACAAAACTTTAGTATTCTTTGACAGTATGATATCTCTCAAAACATGTTGGTACATGTAATGCAATTTTACACTTTTTGCATTCCCACGTTGTCTCTCTGCATTGTTTATGCTTTGTGCAAACTACACATCTTTGTTTTTGGGTGTTGGTTCGACGGCCATTGGATCTATATGTTTGGGAAAATGACTTCCAACTGTTGAGCCTGCAATCTTAGTGGTAAATTTCCATTTGACAACTGTCCTTTACGGTTGTAGTTCCGTAATGGTGTATTTTCCAATAATAATTCGGCTATTTTAACTTTATATTCTGCATATCCCTGTCTTTTTTCAATATTTATCTTGTTATGCAAAATGAAAGAGTTAAATAATGCCATGTCAAACAGGTAAAAAGAAAATTTTCCGATACCCCTTCATACACTTTCTCATAAGAGGGAAGCACGCTAGCATTTGATCTTGTCGATCAACTCCTATCATTCTGAAATGTTTTGTTTATGTTTCGCCCGGTAGAGTTACTACGACTCTGAGGCGTCTTTTTCGTGTTTGGGCCGATAACCTTGCGACGCTTCTGAGGCGTCTTATTCATGTTTAGGCTGATAACCTTGCAACGCATCTGGGGTGTCTTATTCATGTTTCATCCGATAACCTTGCGACGCTTCTGAGGCGTCTTATTCATGTTTGGGCAGATAACCTTGCAATGCCTCTGAGGCGTCTTATTCATGTTTGGTTCGATAACCTTGTGACGCCTCTGAAGCGTCATTGTAAGCTGAGGGTTTAATTTCTTTTATACATCGTTTTAGATTTTATTATAATATTTGAATACAACATGTGGCAACAATTAGATAATTCTTCAGATGATATAATTTTTTTGCATTCTGAGTTATAAAATGAAGGAGATATAACGCTGTTAAGTGAACCTAGCACCAGATTATCACTATGGTAAATTAATATAGTGAATTTTAAAAAGCTCATTTATTCTATTGTGGTTTGTGTGCTATCGACAGAGTGGATTTAATTAATTTCAATAATTTTTTAATTTGCGTCAGTGGTAATTTTTATTATTTCATCAGTTATTTATTTTATTGACGGCTCTTATGTTTTTTTCAATAGCAGGTCTTGTTCATGCCCTACAATTAAGTTAGTATCCTATCTTGCATACCATTTAAGTACAGAAACTGTTCTTACCGTTTGAATTCTGAATTTGAGCACATACTTTAAAATGTCTTATATATCATTAAATATGTGAATCCAAATTAGCTATTTAGAGATCAATGCAGTTACTGTATTTTATAATAATAGAATTTGCTGTCTTGGACCCTTAAATTTGACCTTCTGCCTTTGATCCCCCACCCCATTTCTGCATCTACAGCTAAATGTAGTAAAATTGTTTTTGGAGCTTTGTGCATGGAGCAGTTAATACAAAATATTTCAAGACCATTTTAAACAAATTGTCGTTAACAGAATAGAATTATAGTACACATTTTGGGTTTAAAAACTGTCTATATTATGCAGTTATATTTTATTATGCTCTCAGTACCAGCAATAAATATATTCATTCATTCAGCAATCAAACATATTCATTGAAATTAAAATGCACTTTTGTTGTGTTCTTTTATTTTATTTTCTTGGTTACTTTCTGTTGAAGCAGCCACAACATAAGCTTTTATCATTTTACAGATTCGGAAATTATGTTTGCCAGTTTTAGTGATTAAGCATGGTGGCTGCTTCATTAAGTGAGTGTGCTGTTTTCCAAAATTGATTTTTGTTTCATGCTGTTTTCCAAAATTTATATATATTTGTTCCGTATTAAATGTAGCAACAAATTCATTTTACATCCAAAAGATATTAAAATTGTGATATGATATTTTATGCAAGTTTTGATATTTAGTCCATCCCTAGAAATGTTGGTGTCACTGACAGGCAATTTTGCATTAATAATTGTAAACTTTGTTGCGTAGTGCAAAGAATTTCGAGCAACTCTTTACATTTACTTTTCATCATGGACATCATCAAGTATTTACAATTACCTATTATAATTGTTAAAAATCTGCCAGCTGCTGAGAGTAGATATCCAGATTATTATATTCAATAACATGGAGTTGGAGAACCAGCATAAAAATAGCTGTAATGTGATAGTAATTTGAAATCGATTTATAGTGGGGATGCAACATTTCAGACTTGGGGAGATCTATTAATGTAAATTTATAATTAATCAATGTGATTAAATTGCACTAATGATTTTTTATTTCTTTTGAAACTGTCTCTAATTGTAATGTGCTTTTCTATATTTTGAGAGTTAATTCTATCATACAGTTGCTATTGTATCATTAGCATTTTTTGGCTGGCACAAAAGTTTGATCACCAATCAGCAGAACTACATTTTCAAGGATGAAAAAGTATGTATAGAACTAAATTGTTAAGTAATCTGGAAAAGTTATGTAAAGGTTAAAATACTGTTTCAAAGAGGTAGAAGTTGGTATCTGAACAGTTTATGTCAAAATATTATATGTATCATAGCCCCCCCCCTCCCAGAGTAAATTATAATATTTAATATTTTGGAAGCAAAATTTCGATGCACTTTGTCTCAGCATTACAAAATTCATAGTTTCATCCTTATAGAATTTTCAAATATTTTATTTCAGTATTATTTATTTTAAAACATTTCCGAATATATTTTAGGATGTATATCACTTTCAACTCTATGGGCCTTATTCTCCATGGTATCATACGAAGCTAAGACCTGGAACAGCAACATTTTTAGCGAATATATCGAAGTATTATGAACTTCATATTTGTACATTTGGTGCAAGACTTTATGCTCACAAAATTGCACAGATTTTAGATCCTGATGGTAAGCTTTTTTCCCACCGCATTCTGTCCAGAGATGAATGCTTTGATGCTACTTCAAAGACTGGAAATTTAAAGTAAATACTGAGATGATTTCATTCATTAAAACTTAAAACTGTTTATTAAACATTTACATAGTTGCCAACTGTGTTTTACCCGGATACTCCTGTTTTTTCATCGCATCTTCTGGCCATCTGTAGTTCACAGAATCTGCCATTTTTAAATTTTTAGCTACAGAAAATGGTTTTACGTAATAAATGAAAATGATTGAATTAATGAGACTTAAAATATGCAAATTCTATTCACTCATACCACCTGTTTTTTTAGCATAATTTTTTTATTAAATTTTGTTTGATTTGAATTATCTTAATCTACTATAGACATTTACAAAACTTTAATGAAGATTCATCTGGTATTTAATGGTTAATATTTGCATACATTACTAAGTTTATTCAAACAATAATATAGTATGTATATTAATTGTTAGTTTTATTTTCACCACATTTAAAAGTATTTTAATAAGTAAGTAAAAGGGTCCCCCCCTACTCAGGATTTTCTTAGAATAAAAATTTCAGAAAATTGCATATAATGAATTTAGCTGAAAGTTTAAAATTTGAATACCTAATTAAGCTGTAATATATTATACATACAGAGTTCTTTTGAAATGACATTACCTTAGAAGTATGAAAACCTCCCAGAAGTCCCACTTTTCATGCAAGTACTTCCCAGTTGTTCATATATCAAAGTTGGCAGCTATGGATTTAGTTAGAAATTTTTGTTGCTTAAAAAAATTGCTTAATTCTTTATATTTTTATTCCAGCATTATTAAGTAAGAGAAAAACTATTTTGAGGAAAATAAATGCTGTATCACTTTCTGGCATGTACTCAATTGAAAATTCCTCTATCTATAATTGATTGAACTCTTTATTAATAAATTTATTTTTATTACACATTCATTACAATACACTAATTTTATTTTTTTTTAATTTAAAAAGAACTGAAAGAGCCTATAATGTTTATTTATAATAAATATTTTGCTTTCAAATAAATTGTTTTTAAAAATTATTCCATTCAAATAGAAGTAAATGAATTATGTAAAATTAGAGAAGAATAATTTAGTTAAACATTTATATATATATATATATATATATATATATATAAATGTTTCAAGCTGTGAACTATAGCAAGTTAGTAAATTATAAATTAAATGAAATACTAAAGATTCTTTTAAAGATTATAATGCTAGAAGCATTTATATTGGTAACCTTATTTAAATCACATGGATACTTTATATTCGCCTTTACTGTTTAAAAAGGTATTTAATTTTTAAGTTTTAATACTCTGTTTAATTATTTTTCATTTTAATCCCATATTATGTGTATTTTAAAATGAGAAAATGTAAAAAAACAAAGTAAAACAAGTCTAAATTGATATTATCCCAGCAAGTACAGTTTTTGTCATTACTATTTTTAAAATCATAAGGTATTTAGAATAAATACTGTGCATTTATATATATATATATATTCTTTATATTCATAGTTATTGAACTTGGTGAAAAAAGAATGAAAAAGTATAAAATGATTCATATTTTTTTTTCAGTCTAGTACAAAAATAAAAGAGGATTCTTTATATTAAAAGACTGCAGTTAGCATTGCTTTATCTTTAAAATAAAGACAGAAAATGCACCTGCACAACAAAAGTGTTCAGCTAGTGCCTAGATTTAAATTTATTTGCAACAACAGCCTTGCAGTTTAAAAAATTGCCCCCGCGCCAATAATACCAAAGTTAGTGTTACGTTACGTAAAAATACAAAGTGTCAAATCAGTAAATTGAATTTACTTTGTACTTACTTTCAGTCTGACTGTCAGATCTTCACAAATCCAATAATGTGAAGTTATTAGAACAAACTTTATCACAGTCTATTTACAAAACTTATACTTCACCAAAAATTTGTTACAGTTTTTTCATTTGTTTTACATAGGCCCGTTTTTTTTCGTTACTCAGTTCTCAACTGTTTTATTCAAAAACATCTACATTGCTCGAGCACTGTTAGTCAGCGCCCTCTGTCTATCAGCTTGTGGTTTCGTAATAATCTCCCCACTTTGAGTATGACGGAATTGTACTCAACATCACAGAACAAGTCTCTGGCTTATGTATTATTCGCCCACTTCTGGAAATAACTAGTGGAGATTTCAGCTTTGACTCTTCCATTTGAAATGGACTGCAAAACCGTCATTTTGTTTGCTTGCTCACCCATTTCTAAAGGATAAATATTCTACTCAGGTCTTACTATGTCACCGTTCCTTGTTTTTACTTGAACAACACGAACATGTCCATCCTTCCCTGGATACAGCTTAATTACTCTTCCTAGCTGCCAATCAATCCATTTACTGTTTTCATTCCCAACCAGAACTATTTCTCCTAATTTTATTTGTTTCTTGATTTTTCCGGCTTTCTTAGAATTTTTAAGTTGTCATAAGTATTCAGCTCTGTTCTATTTATGTGATCAAGTTCAATCATAGAACCTCCTACATTGTCCCTTAAAAACATATTTGAATTTAAAGGCATTAAATCTTGAATGTCTTCCGATATGTATGTCAAAGGACGGGAATTGACGGCATTTTCAACTTCATATAACACAGTGAGTAATTCTTCATAATCTAGGCTTGTCCTGCCTAAAATATTCTTCAACATGTCCTTTGCAATTCTAATGAGTCTTTCTCATCATGCCGATGTAGGAGGATTAAATTTCCCATTTAATTTTTTTTAATCATGGCTTTTCCCTCCACTTCCTTCCAATTAATTTTCTGGAAAAGTTTATTGGTTCCCATAAAATTAGTACCATTGTCTGAATATATAATACTTGGTCTCTTTCTCCGAGCTATGAATTTTCTCAGGCTTTGCATAAATGCTTCTGTGGATAGAGTAGTAACAATTTTAATGTGTATTGCCTGATAAACGGCGAATGTAAATATCACTATCCATGCCTTCTTCTGGCCTCGAAGGTATAAAGGCCTAGCCAAATCGACACCCATAATCTGGAAAACTGCAGAGTCTGTTACTCTCTCCTCTGGTAATGGTATGGAGTTTATGTCAAAATTGGTTACCTTAAAACATCTACAGGGACCACAGTTTTTTATTACATGACGAACTGTATGCCGGCATTTGAGAATCCAAAATTGTTCTCTCAAAATTGCCATTAAGGCTTGAATACCTGCATGGGAATTTTCTTTGTGTTTTTCCTTGATTAACAGGTTGGTAATAACATGGTTGGGAGTTAGAATTATCAGAAATCGAAAATTTCTATATCTCTCAGAGAAACTGAGAGATCTTTGGCATAGTTCGTATCAGTACTTTCTCATCCACAAAAGGTTGCAATGATACAATTGTTTTGTCTTTATGTTCTCATCCACAAAAGGTTGCAATAATACTTTCTCTTGGATTAATTTTAAAAGAATATTTTCTGCTTCTGCATATTCTGCAAAAGTAATGTTACCGAAAATACGATCTTTAGGTAAATTTCTAGCATTTTTGCAGAATCGTTTTATCCAAGCTATCATCCTTACTATCTTTTTATATGAAGAATATCTGTTGTAGACTAAATCCATTGTATTTATAAGTTGGTAACAGTTATGGCACATTTTCTTTTCTCCGAATTTATTACAGATTTGTCAGGTTGCACTAGTTCATAATAAGTGTCAATCCTTAAGTTTTCCTTCAGCCATTCTGGCCGGTTCCACCACTGAGCCTTCACTAATTGTTGTACTGTACATCCTCTTGAAGCTGTATCTGCTGGGTTCTGTGAACCTGGAATGTAATAACAATCATTTATGCTACTTAGTTTTCTAATTTCGTTTACTCTATTGGCCATGAATGTAGTCCAAACAGCTTCTCGTTTAATCCAACAGAATGGGGGAATGTTTTTGGGGATTCACTGACATATATGGTTATCGTTTGAATGGGTTCATGGGTTATAATTTGTTTCTATTTCTACTATAAATGATGGGATACTTGAGTTTCTAAGCAAGAAGTGAAACATAAGCATTTCAAAATTCATTTTTTCCAATAAAGAGCTTTTAAACAACGTTTGGTTTTTGGGGATGTGAATTCTTTTATTAAACGGTTCTAAATTTGGTGATTTATCAACATTTTGGCGATTTTAAGATCAGTTTCTATAGAAAATTTTTAATTCCGAGATCTGAGAATTTTTCGACAATTTTTTTAGAACATTATAACATTGGTAAATATGATTAAAATAATGGTAATGTATTGTAATTATATTTAAGAAATAACATTAAAGTAAAGCATATTTATTTTTTGCTGCCATATTATAAATTCCATTTTGGCCACTTATACAATATTATGAATCTGAAAAAAAAAAAAAAAAAAGGTATAATGTTATAAAGCACAGTATTGTCTCAGAATATGCATCAGTTTTCTCTCTGAAATAAATTTTGAATTTTTCCACTCTGATTTTTTTCCTCAAAATATTTCTGGCTTTTTGCTATTATAGAATTCATAAGAGTAATTTTTCTTTAGGATTTTAGGCATTGCAGCTTAGAAGGATTTGAAGGCAAGATTTATAGACTCACAAGTCTAGAAGATTCGAGAAATATGTGACAAAATTTGAAATGTCTCTATGGTATCAACACGTAATGGATTTATTTTATAGAAAGATTGCAATGAATTTCTTACTTTTTGGAGAACATCTGGAAGAACAATGAAAGCATAATGTTCGAATGTTTTACTTCTGATACTGGAATCTTTTAACATGTTTATATTCCCTTTATTTTCTCTACTTTTCACTAGACTCAAGCATGGAAAATGTCAAAAATGCTTCTAATTTCATCACATGGGCAGGCATTTTAGAAAGGGATTTTTTTATAAATAAAGAAATTGAAAACTTCCAATTTAAAAGATTCATCTAATATGTCTTAATGCATCATACACATAGCTGTCACTAGGCATTTTCCCACCTGATGCAATCTCTGTGGATCCTAAATTCTGCTTCTAATGCCTACTCTAAATTCTAAAATTTTTACCATTTCTAGATTTTGTTTACTAAGTGTCACTAAATTCTAAAAATTCTGCCATATCAGCTCTGTAATCAGCCTTTACCATATATATTTCATATCTCTTCTAAATGTTCATAGTACTAAAGAAATAAAATTAGCCACTTTTCCTGTACATTCTAAATGCATTTAGTGTTTTTTAGGATAACAGAAATCCTTAATTAAATCCAAAAATTCTAAAATGGAAAGGAAACGTGTTGAAGAAAGAAACTGAATACATAAAGAAAATTATTCTTCAAAAATATGTGCAGTTATTATTATGTAAATTACCCAATTGTTTATGATTTAAGCCTTTACTATAATTTCCAGTTTCTATTTCCTTATATGATAGAGTTACTGAGCCAGATTAAATTTCAATTAAATTATATAGTCTTTGACCACTACACATTTTTAGATTGAATTTGACTGTTCTTGTTTAATTACATCACAGTGAGCTGTAATTGATTTTGTTAGCATCAGAACATGCCTTTATGTTCTAAGTTCTTTTTAAATAAGCCTCTTATTTAAACCTTTGTCTGATATTGTAGTTACTTTCATACATAGCGATAATATGCTTCACGTTTGTCGGGGGTTTTGGACTATTTAACTTTTACCAGATAAAGTAAACCCTCATAGGTACATTATGGAGAGGTTGACAAGTTAGGAGATAATGTATGCAGAAACTAGCGAGGGCATTGATTTGCATATTAAGACAAATCTCTAATTGTTAGAAAAAATGCTTAAAGACAAGGAAATCGATATAAACGAGCCAAAATGTCTGGGAAGGCTTCAAATTAAAATGACGAATAAATATTTTGTTGTGTGTTTTTGTTACAAATTGTTTTGTAGCTTTTAATGTGTAATAATCCTAATATCATTTAAGAATCAATGCCATAAATTACATATATTTTAAACTGTGAAATTTTATTAGATTTTGAATTTACTAGAGCTTTTTTAACAAAATTTGTTGAAAAGTAAAATTTAATAGTGGCCATGTAAATCCATAATGACTAAGGTTACCTGTTTACCTAATTTAATTATTTATAACTAACTGCTTACCCTTAAAAAATATCCCTACATATTAAAGCGAGTTATTGCCTTTCATTAACACCCACTGTGGTCACAAGATAAAACACAAAAATGTATTCAAGTAAAACTTATTCTTTGAACGTAGACTTAAAATGCGTAGACTTATTCTTTGAGACTTAAAATAATACAAAACAACTTATCACCTCTGGTGCTTTAATGGCTTATTGGAACCTGAAAAAATATTAACTGGAACTCTACACAAACCTACGACACTAACTGCATTAAACAGAGCCTGACTAACTTTCAACACTTGCCAACCATGCCTACATCAGGCCTTTCAAATTTGTTCTAATCAGCAGGTCTCTCTCTAAACAAGCAGCAGCAGTGTGACAACATTCAGTCTTTTGTTATGAATCATGCTGCTTATGACCTTACTTCTCATTTTAACCTATGCCATTTGACATAAAATCTACCTGCTATTTACTAAACCTCTAGACTGACAAGTATGTGACAATATGAGACATAAAAAAAATCCACATAAAGCTAACTGTTAGTAAAACGTAAATGTTACTTCTTTCAAATATGTCCAACTATTATAAGTGTAAAATATTTAATGCTACTTGATAAATTGCTTAAAATTTATTATATTCTCAAACTTATTAATAATTATGTTAATTCTTGTTTAGTAATAATGCATACTACTTAGGGACCTATTTTATTTTTAGGATGATATTACAAATGTGAAATGCAGGCATAAATAATATTTTTAATTGAATTTATTCAGTTCGCATTTGCTCATAGGTCCTTAATTTTTTTCATTAATGGTCCTTAAAAGTACTTAATTTCCTTGTGCAGAAATGAGTACAAACCCTGTAATTATCATTATTACCCCCTTGTCCATAATTTGTACCGATTTTGAAGTTCTTTCACTGTATCAACATGGGTTCTATATCTAGTATCTGTCCAAAGCGATTTCAAATTTGAAAATATTCTCTCAAATTTAGCATTGCAGTGGGATATGGAGAAAATGTAAAAAGGTATTATTTTGTAATTTCCTGAATTTGTAGGAGAATATAATCTGTTATTTTCATTGTCTGATGTAACTTGCTGTAGCTTTTCTAATGACACTATTTCCTTAACTCAATGGTATTCAACTTTATGGCATTGTGACCCCATAAAATTGGAAACAATTCCAAAAAGCAATTTCACAACCCCAGTCAGAGCGTCGACTCTTAGTTTATAGAATAATTTCAGATTTTTTAGAATTGTTCTCTATCTTGTGACCCTATCATAAATTTTCAGAACCCCAAATGGGATTGTGACTCATAGTTTGAATACCACTACAGTTTTCTTTGTATAATTCATCCATGTTAAGGTCTAGTTTGTAACTTCCTGTTGGGGGGGCTATTTTAAATATGGGAATTTTTTTAAAGTTCTCTTGTGAATGAAAATGTCACAGATTCTTTAAATAAATTGAATCAATCAAATTATAACTTTCAGTAAAGTGTTTTAGAAACAGTGAAAAATTCTTTTTATGTTACTGCCATTTGCACGGAGTTAAAATTCTTCATACCTTTGATAATAGAAAAGCCAAAAAATTTAGTTTTTTCATGAGCTTTGTGTTTCAATAATAAAAACTGTCTTAACTTTCTAAAATTTTAATAGCATCAACCATGATTTTCATTCTGCAGCTTACAAATAAAGAGCTTGCTTTGTACAGTAAATTGGAATTTCTCTTTTCTTCTCTAAATGTATCTCACACAACCTTTATATAATTATCTTTACTTAAACTTCTGAAGTAAGTGATTATTAAGACCCCAGTTCCTTAAAAGTCTCTTGAAAATGTGAAAACCAGCTTGAAGGAACATCTCAGAATTTCCAAATATTGCATATCAACAAAATTACAGAATTCTTTCAGAGCTTTAGTCCTGATGGCATAATTTGCTAAAGTGTAAAAATACTTTAAATGCTGAATTCTTTACATTTCTGAGCCAAAACTGTTACTAGAAAGGTATAGTTCATTTGGTTCATATTTAAGAAAAGTACTCATTGCCTACTGTGAAAGCTGATACCCCTTAAAGATTCATATTAAATGATGGTAATTTCTGTCGTATAGTTTTAGCAGTAGTGTCTGCTGTTTCTCCATTACCCCTATAAAATTCTGAAAGACATTCTTCTATTTCATTCTCAATATTAAAGTATTTTAAATGAATTAGGAAGAACTTTATGCATCGGTAGCTACAAAAGTTTTTTATTTTTATTATCTTTAATGTATTTTATAAAGGCCTCAACTAAATGGAGTGCTAAAACATTAACACACAATACTGTGTCTTTTGTTTTAGCATTTAGTTTTCCAGTTTCAGAATTTGTATAAATGGCTATATGTATACTTGAAATGAATGTTTATAGCTATTATGAACATTATGTTTTCCATAGCTGTACAAGCATTTTCTTCACTTTCAGTTGAAAATTTTATATGAAAAAATATCTCCAAACTCTCTGAAGTAAAAGCACTTTCGATTTGTTTCAGTTTTGATTTGTGTTTAAAATTTTTGTTTGTTTGTTTGTTTGTTTTGTTTTGTTTTGTTTTGTTTTGTTTTGTTTTGTTAGAAACTTCAGCCTCACAAAAAGTGTAGTATACAATATGGTTTTCTTTTACTCTTTTACACTTCTATGAATGTAAGTAAACTCTTTCTGCCCAGTTCAGAATAACTAGAATATTTTCTACGAGTTCTTTATAATTACAAATTGTATTTATGGGTGTTTATACTTCTAAAAATGTAAATACTATAAAGTGTTAAATATAATTTATAAATGAACCATATAGCCCAAACAGTTGGAACATTCACTGTTAACTACATCAATCTTTCTCATTAAAACATTGTTAAAACGCATGATGTGATATGTCTCAAGGTCTATCAATCTGATGCATAAAATTGGTAGTATGATCAATATCATATCAAAGGCGAATCTGTGTTGCTAATCAACATTTTTCTGTGAGCATAAGCATTAATATCTTGCTTTGTGTTCTGCTGTGAGGAAGTTTTAATAATTTGACTCTTAATGCACTTTATGCTGAACAGTGTGACTAAGAGCTAGACATCTGACAGACTTATATGTAAAACAAGCAGATTATAGCATCTTAATGGAATTTTGTACTGCACAACGAATTGTAGTGGATATGTTTATAATAATGTATAACAGCCACTTCTGTTCTGTTTCAGATATGTTACAATTTGTGTTTCAGGTCTGTGTATGTTTTTGATCCTCTGAGAACTTAAAATTCCGAACCTCCTAGTGCTAGTAATTTTGTAATTTCATGTTACTTGTAATGTGTTAATCATAAATTAAAATCTTCTTTTTCTCTAAAATAAAGAACTGATTGCAAACTATGTAATGTAAAGTTGCATTCTTACACTGTTTATTTTTCAGAGCGCTTTTTCCTCGAGGAGATGCCATGGTTTGCATTATTGATGACAGAGAAGATGTGTGGAACTTTGCCCCTAATGTAATTCATGTGAAACCATACTGCTTTTTTCGAAACACTGGAGACATCAATGCACCTCCTCCATCTTCTCATGAAACACAGCCACTAAAGCCATCTGAAGTTTCTAAACCTACACCTTTGGCTAAACCAGAGGGTAAGAATCAAAATTGTGATAGACAAGAAAAAGCTGATGGTGTTAAAGAGGATTCTTCTGTGCTGGCAACTCATTCTTCTAATAATGACTCAGCTGGCACTGCTCAGTCAATAGAAAGTGCTTCACAAGCTGCTTCTTTAGAAAATGAACAGAATAATGTTGGGAAGATTTCTGTATCAGCTGAAGAAAGTGATATTAAAGCCAAGGATAAAGAAGTAGACTTTCTCAGGAGCTTATCAAATTCTGTGAATAATTCTGATGATTATTTATTATATCTGGAAGAAATTCTTGTGAATGTTCATAAAGCTTATTATGACCAGTATGATAAGATGAAGAAGGAAGGTGGAAATTCTATTCCAGATTTAAAAACTGTTGTTCCTGATGTACGTCGAAAGGTACTCAAAGGTATTAACATTGTATTCAGTAGTGTTATTCCAACAAACTGTGTGCCAGAAACTAGCCGTTTCTGGACTCTTGCTGAATCTCTAGGTGCTACTGTGTCTCAAGAACTAATCCTGGATTCTTCTGAAAGAAGGACAACTCATGTTGTTGCCTCTAAACTTGGTACAGCCAAAGTTAATGCTGCCAAAAAACATTCTGACATTTATATTGTGTCATTACCTTGGTTATTGTGTTGTGCAGAAAGGTGGGAGCGACCAGAAGAAAGACTTTTCCCCTTGAAAAAAGATTTTGCTCCTTCATTTCACGATAGTGATAAAACATTTGATGCGAATAATGAACATTCCTTTTATGAACAGGCAGTGGAAAAGCCCGTGAAAGGATGGCCAACTGTCAAAAGACCTCACGGTTCTTCCAGGAAAAGAAGTCGAAGACACCAACTCAAAACTGAGGAAGAAATATTTTCTGAACGGATATTTGTTGAAGCTGGACTTTCTTTATCACAAGAAGATATTGAAGACATGGATAGAGAAGTTGATCAGGTATGCAGTGAAGAATCTGACAAAGAAAGTGAAAAGATGGAACCTTCATCTGATTCTTCAAGTGGAGAATCTTTGTCATCAGGAGATTATCCCAAAGGCTGGAAAAGGCATCGAAAAAATGATGTTACTGATATTGCATTAGAAGATGCCATTGATGAAAGTAGTGATGCAGACACTATTGGTTCTGTTGATGAAGAAATTGCTGATGCCGTTAAACAAGAATTTGGAAATTACTAGTCTGTATTGTTATTCTTATTTATATTCTTATTATGTTATTATCGTAAAACGTATGTTAAATTTTTTATATGAAACGAGTTCTTAAATAATTTTTATATCCAATAATCATAGAGTACAAAACACTAATATTGCATATATTTATGATACTGTGAAGCTTTTATTTCTTATTTTTAGAAGAAAAGCTTTATGTGTATGTGTGCATTTGGCATCATGAGCTAAGCTTGACATATGTAATGTAAAATAATTGCAGGTGTTATACTTTAGTGTTATACTAAGACTTTAAGTGTTATACTACGTTGATATTAATTATTTCTAAAATAATACACAGCACAATTAAACATGTTAATGTTTTATTTTATGTTTTTGTCAAAGCTGATATAAAATAAATAATTTTCCTATCTTTATAAATAATAATTTTGATATTAAAAAGTGCCTTTTCTTTAACATGAATCCTTTTTACATACTAATCAGTAATATAATCACTATAACATTTAGGAATTGTTTTCATTTTTAAATGGTAAATTGTTTCTCGTGTATGGAAGATTCTAAAAAAATTTAGTTGCATATTGTTCTCATGTATGGAAGATTGCAAAAAATTTTAGGTACATATTGTAAAAAGTTTGAAAATGAATTTTGCTTTTGTTGTTTAATTATCAGCTTCTTTGCTCCCTGTATAGGGAGAATGAAGTTCTTTCCCTGAGCCTGTGAACTTGTAATGCTGAATTTTACTGTATGCTCGAAAGTTTCCACAATTAAGCCTAACATGTAAAAATATTTTCTAGAAAATTCTAATATCTACGATTGAAGTGATTAAAAATAAATGCAATATAAATATTAATAATTATTCACTTAAATTATTTGCATGCAGTAATCAAGTGGAAAACTTAAGAATTCAAATATCAGTGTCTATTATATCCTATTACCACATTTATAATGCAAATATGTAAGCATTTTCACATTGTAAAACATTTTAAAACTCTGAACAATACATTGTTCAGTATCATTCTCTTTGCATCTATAGAATAAAATAGTAAATACAGCACAAAATCTGAAATCTGGATATTCAGTATCTGGAATGATCTAAAATCCAGACGTCTGGATTACGGGCAAACTTTTATTTTTTGTAATATCAGTAATTGAATATAAAAGAGCATGGTAATCTTTTATGTTGATGATATGCTTGCCGTTGATTACAAACTTCACTAACTCCAACTCCACTACAGATTAAGTATGTTAATTAGCAGAAATTTAACATATTTTTTTCATATACAAAAAATTAATTTTGTAAATGATGTACTCATAGGTAAAAAGATTACATTTAGTGTAGTTTGAATTGAGAATAACTTATCTGTTATTCAAATAAGCCATAGCTTCAGTGCACATAACAACTGTGGCAATAACAACTGCAGTGGACTACAAAATTTAGAGAAGGCAAAATCTTTAGATTTAGAGAAGCACCAAGCAATAAAAGTGAAGGATGGGAAAGCCTGTAGAATTTACAGAAGGCAGTGGAACACAAAATTTTTAGGATTTAGGAAGGTGCTATGCAACAGAATTTCGATTCCACCAGGCTACAAAATTAAAAAATTTTTTACCCACGGAGACTGCACCATGCAGGAAAATGTCTAGCATCAGCCCTTTATAAGTATATGTGGGAATTTATTTATTCGGGACTCAGATAAGCCTTAATCATATGCAGAAAAGGAGCATGAGTGTAATAAATAATTCAAATTCAAACTTACTTTGTCAGCTTGTGCTTAGAACTAGGCAGAACTTAGCAGAATATGTCTTTAGTTGCCAGTCTCACGATACATCACCAAAAGTGTATAGTGGACACTAGCTAAGATTGGACATTATGACAAATTTGAAAGTGTTCCAACATCACTAATAAAAAGTGAAATTTTCCAATTAATGTAATTTTTAAATAAATAGGGAAAAGTTGTAATAAATGAAGATGATATAAAAAGTTTTTATTGCGATGATGATGCCTCAGTCATCAGTTAACTGAGGGATAGTGAAATCTGTGTTAAGGTTTCTAAGTCCAAAAAATATCTCTACCAATAGTTATTGCTGAAAACGAAAAAAACTTTGATTAACAATTTAGTAGGAATTCTTGATGTGACAATTACAGGACTTAATAGTACTTTGTTATTGAACAAGAAATTATCTCTCTCTATTGAATTAAAGAAAAAGTATTAGCACAAAAAAATTAAGCAAATTAAACAATTTATATTGAAAGAAATGTTTAATAAAGCAAGCAAGTAGAGGTTTTTTTTTTTTTTTCTTTTTTTTTTCCTTGTTTGTTTTCTAAATTTTGATTCCCTAAGGTCATAAATGCATCATTATTTCAAAAAACATTATTTCATATTTTTAATTTTATAATGTCTATATGTTTTCTTACTGGATTTAAACTTATATCTAATATTTGGAAAAATCCCTAATGTGGAATTGCCGAAGTCTCAATGAATCTGGATGGATTTTGTATTGAAATGCTCATAATAACAAAGTTAATGCTCATTCATTCTGACATCTTTTAAAATTATTTGGAATTTCAAATAAAACATTTGGTTTCAAGTATCAAACATGATTCTTTGGGCTACGGTGCGTGAGCGAGAAGTTATAGATATTTTGTAGAAGCATATATTTTTCAAATCTAATGAGGTGGCCCTTGCATGCTTATGTTCAAATTAATTTTAAGTACTTTTTAGCAAGAGTGGTTTGCATAACTCAAATACAAAAAAAAAAAAAAAAAAAAAAAAATTGCTGTATTTTAAATTTGTAAGTAGTCCATGGTAATAAAACAACTGTTTCATGTATTTTGTTTTAATTTGAAAATTATCTTCAATCATTTGTGCATGAATATGTAATATCCATAACCATATAAATAATTTGAGATGTATATATTCATGTTCGTATCTGTAATAAAATCATCTTAAATTTTTACTTGTTTGTTAATTGAATTTTCATATTTTATGTGTATCAATAAATTGTTCATTTTTGGAGTGGAATTATCATTTAGCAATGTTTTTTACATATCCTTTAATTATTCTACTAATGAAAGAATTTAACATTGAATTCATTATGTGAGAGATTTTTTCCTGCAACAATTATTGCTTTAACATTCGATAAATTAGCAAAATGAAATGATATTAAGCTGACAAATTTAATTTTGCATCTGATAAATGTGTACTTTAAAAATGCACTTCAAACAATAATTAAATCTGAGGCTTCTGAATTTGCAAACAAGCAGTCTGGCTCCTTGTCTATATCAAAAGTATTAACTTTCATTCTTTGTAACTAAGTAGTAGTTCATTCTTTGTAACTAGCAGTTGGTATAAAATAATAGTACGTGCCTCTGAAAAGCTCTGTTTATTTTTATTAAAATTTACTGAGTTTTTAGTATTTAAAAAAAATTATTATCTGTTTTAAGTACTTCTAAAAATAAGTTTCAGAAAAGAAACTTTTTACTTGTAAAGACAAATTTACACATTTAATTTCTCAAAATCATCAAGCGTAGCCTTTATTATTATTGTATATTTTAGGTTACATAATCATTAAAAAACATCTGATGACTAAATTCAATAGCTATCTGATTTTTAGTCCAAATGGGCAATTTGCCCAGAAGGGCTAGTTGATTTCCTTTTTGCTTTGAAATGTGGGTTCACTTTTCAAGTTGTTGCCACAAACATTAGAGTCCTGTATTATATTTAAAAAAATTAAATAATGAAGAATCTGCATAAATGTATGAATGTTTTTCGCATTGTTATAAAACAAGGATACCTAGAGCCATCAAATTTTGAATAACGTACGTTTCCATCTGAATATGGGCATCTGGAAGCCCAAATATGTCCCCTGCACGTGAGACTTGTGTGTCAGAAATTCTAAAAATATGCTCATCTTAAATTAGTTTGCGATGTTGCTGTTGAACTGAATTTTACGGTTTAAGTGCAAAGAACATGATATTTAAGAAATAAAGGTAACGCAAGAAATGTTAATAATAATAAAAAAAAATAATTTGGGTATAATATAAAATCTGAAAGCTTTCAGTTCCCCCCCTTTAGAATTGTTTAATAAAGTCGACATTTTTTCAATAGCGACCGTAAAACTCTATATTATCATAACTTGGCGATCATTATCAGCATACCAAAAGAAAGCAATTGCAAATCTAATCTGAAATACAAGTTTGATTGTATAATATGTAAAAATTATGCATACTGTAAGATACATTACTGTTTTTCTTCCCATTTATACAGTGTCACAGAATTGCACATTCACAAGTAAGGCCTTCATACTAAAATCCTTATCCAAAAACAAAAACGTCAAATTTGGTATATCCTCCATACTTTACTTAAACTTGCATTTCTTCAAATTCTCTCTGTAGTTTCCGGCAACAACTTCCTGTTTTATAAAAGTACCGTCGATGATTTCTGTTACCTCCCAGATATTAAGAACTGCAACTTGAAATTTCTTTGTCTCCAGTTTGAAGAGCGGATGGACTTTTCCATTTTTAAAGTTCACACAGAGCTCAATTAGGTCAATAACTCACAATTGTTAAGCCTTTTAAAAAAAAGCAGCAGTTATTCTAAGAATCCATTAGACATTGAACTAGGAATTAGCATTAATTGTAGGCACATGAAGTGTCAGATATACAGAAAAGAAGAGCTGATGTTAACAGTATTTATATTGTTCCTGGACCACAGGATCAAAAATCAAATATTTTTCTTATTCAGCTTATTTGAACTTTACAATAGTACTTTGGGCTTAAATCGCAGAATAGGCTGCATCAGTCGATGCTGTATTTACTTCTCTTATGCTTGGGCACGCCTTTTTATGACGTAATATTGGTTACGCCTCTTCTTGAAAACAAGCTGTAAGTATGCTATAGCTTCGTATTTAACGAAAACTTAAATTATATTTTAACTGAGTTGAAATGTTAGGTTTATAATGTTCTGCGCGATATGTTTTTAATTATATATCTACTTTTGTGTGTTGTGTGGTAGTGTTAGCATTTAACGCAATGAATTATCTCTCACAAATGATTGGAAAAAATTGAATGCATGAGTTAAAAATTATAACCGTAACTTCTGAAAATACAGAAAAGAATGTTTTGATTATTGATGAGTGTGTCTAATTCGATGCTTACTGCAGAATGGAGAGTTAGTATCTGAATGTGGATTTTTTTTATCAGTTGCAGCAAAGAGGTAAAAAGAGCGGGGGCTACTTTGGTAGACGGTCGCACGCATTTTGGCGAGTAATACAACTTATGGTAAACCCATTGCTGGATAAGTTATTTATGGTAACCGATACTTTGTTGTCATTTTATTAAAAAAATAATGCGTTTTATTATGCATAAATTCCGTGTTTTAAATATTATTTGTGGCTTCTAAATATTAAAAATCAATTTAATTTTGCATTTTTATTTGAAATAAAAAATTTTGTTGTTTGTAATATTTGATATAATTTTATGTTGTGGATGATGTAATCAATGGCGTCATCTTACTTAAAAATTAATTGGTTTTATTAATATCTATAAATTTAATCTAATGTTTTAAACATTATTTATGGCTGTTAAATATTAAAATACAATTTAATTTTGCATTTGTTTTAAAAATGATTTCATTATGGATGATTATTTAAATAATTTTTTAATTCTATGCGTGATGTAATCAGCTCCCTGATTGGTTACTGAATATTTGTGCATTACCGCGCCATTTTAAAATTTTATTATTCATCTCTTCGAATTCCTCAGATTTCAAATGGAATGGATATCTCCGTTTCGAAGATAAATGTTGTTATTGGTAATTACCAAGAATTATTAGTATTGGAATAAAAACATTGCCCTTTGAGACCTTATTTTGGCCAACCTGTCTTTCCTAATCAAAGATTTATTTATATATTGTTAATAGCGTCAGATGAAATTTATTTTAAATTTTTGGAGGAAACCTAATTGCTTCTTCAATGAAGTGCGAGAAATGTTGATCACAGATGAAGATGGTTAAAAGAGCCGATTCAATTATGATTCCGATTTTTTTTTTTTTTTTTTTTTTTTTTTTTTTTTGTGGTGCTTATTAACAAACAACAGGTTAAATGACTCAAAAAATTGTAAGTACATATTTTTCTTTTATTTTACAATTGTATACTTCAGTTTTGTTAAAAAAAATTAATACACAATTTTCAAAAATTGCTGAGATAATTATTGTCACATATGTTTTAATGTTAATTATATTCTATATAACGTATTTTAAAGTATTTGAATTTAATAATATTCTAATTGTTTTAAATGTTGGTATGATAGTTTTTAATTCGATATTCAATTTCAGTAATATTTTAATCTAATTAAACGTTTGCACAATGTTTTTATGGCGGTGTTTTTATTCTCTTTTTTGCTATATGAAAGTAATAATAACCTTACTTTAGTATTTTATACTCATAGTATTTACACTTGCCTGCCGTCTTAAAAAACAACATTTTCAACAAAAAATTAATCCATTACTTTTAACTTTTTTTTTTTTTTAGTTTCGAATACTTTAGTATGCGTAAAAACAGCGTTTTTCAAGATGGCTGACGATTGTAAAAATTGCGCCAACGTAAATCGCCAAAAATCCGTGCAACCGTCTACCAAAGTAGTACCAAAGAGCGTTATTGAGTGGTGTATGGAGAAAAGGATTGCAATATCGTATAAGTGCCCAATTTGTGAAACAGATATGAAACTAGTAGAGCGAAAGAACCGCATAGACGGTTTTGAGTGAATGTGTGGAATTACTGGAGGCGAATGTAAGCATTGAATTTCAAGGTATGTTCGAAAGAACTCCTGATTTGCGAAAACTCAAATCAATGGAGTTGGTTACCCGTGAGTTTCTGCATTTCTCTGATTGTTTTAACTGAAAACAGATTTCTGGGTATATGAGCAATGCAGAGTTTATTAAATGTCTGATTTTTTTAAGTAAAAATAGATCGATGTGCGCATGGGCAAAGCCAATGTGGTAGACAATGCCGAGTTTGTGTAATTGTCTGATGTGGCACGCAAAGATCTGCTCCCGAATCTTCGGTTCAGTCGTTCCTGGAGCTCAACACGCTCTCTCGACGATGCACTAACTGCGATACACTAAGAGACTCTTCAGTGCACTCGGCACTCGCTGCCCGGCTGTCAACTCGATCGACTCCGCAGTGGTTGACTCGCTAGACGAGACACTAACTCACTCATACTCTAGACGAGGCACACACACTGAGTACGGACCAGCAGGGTTTATATAGCTTTCGGCTTGTGTTCGAAAACATTCTGGGCTAAACCGATAAGAATTCGTTCCAGAAGGTTCTTCATCCGTCCAGGGCATATCGCCAAATGTGGCAACCCTAAAACGGCTTTGCAGAGAAGCTATCTTACCGCGCCTGTACATTTCGTAACACTGCCCTCTCCCAAGGACTGCACGTCCCGGGCAGTACAACCTTTGGTCAAAAGCCAAATTCGATACAAACAAAACATAATAAAACAAACAAGTAACATAACTAAAGAACCAAATATTTACACTATATACAAGTCTTAAACACATAACAATTTTAAATTATATACATTAAAGTTCTGGATGACTTTCAGTCTCAGTCTTTTTATTAAGTTATACCGGGGTGAAATACTCTTCCACTGCAGTTCTCAGATATATTTATGTTTTGCATATCACAGTCTGGAGATTCACTTCTTTCAGACTTTTCATCCACAGTAAAATCTAAAGCAGTTCGTTCACCACTCTGTAGATTATTCATGTCATGTATACAGTTCACCTTCTTATTTTCAGCCGCTGGTACATGCCCATTCACCTCCATTTCCTGGGAACCAATTCCGATGTTTGCACCAGAGTCGCGAATAGATCCGATCCTTTACAAGCAGAGAAGTATCCAGGTTTAGAACCATGTCCTTATCTGCTAAATCTGCACTATGAGACGCACACATAGTTTGCAAAGTGGGTGAATTTTCGTGCAATTCTGAAGCGCACTGCTTAAGCTGTATATTAGC